GTAAATAAAAGGACTGAAAGAAATGGGAAGAATGCAGGTGTTTGATGATTTACATGAGAAGAACAAATACAGGGAACTGAAACCTGAAGCGAAGAGTCAGGAAGCATGAAAGTAGAAGTTTGGATAGGCAAAGTATTAAAAGGATGATTACTGGTGATGGGAGTGATAGATGAGGAAGGTGAAAGAAATAATTGATTTGTGGTGGCTCTCACACATGGACCTGCCTTGGGGCTACCATTTATTATTGTAATATTCGTGCTCACATAGAGTTACCATTGATAAAACTTTAATTCTGCCAATGGATGTGGATTTCTAGATTTCTTTTTAGAGTAAACGTAATATATATTTGTAATGTTTATTGCTGTGATTATATTACTAGCTTTTACAATGATAGTGCAATGTTATTGCAACTAACTTAAGTTTTCGTAAGGAATGGTATGAGACTATGAGTATCACTCTTATATCGAATAAGCAAGAACTTTTATAAAGTCATCAAAACTATGGTCGAGACTATATAAAAAGTTATTCTAGATATATTCTTCATTTAGTTTCAAAAAATTTTCATATTCAAATAGATTGCTGCTTTTATAGTACATATGATCATTTAATCGTTAACGAAAATAAATAAAAACATGCACACAAAATATTTGATAGAAAACCAGATTCTCACCTCTTTTATTGTTGATTTCATGTAGCACATTTTATCAAATATAACATATTCTATTTGTATATTAATCAAGGATCCTTTAGAAGCTTTACTTGTCACTTTGGAATACTTTTCAGTCTTATAATTAATGATTTGCATAGTTTTGTTGTCCACTCTTTTCCAGAAAGGCAGAAAATAATTTAAAACCATTTTACACAATCACAAAACACTATTTCTTTATACTAGTTACCATTAAATGACTGACCACTGTTTCATACAAGTGAATACAATTAATAATTGAACTGCACAACTGTCTATTTGAAATATTTTAATGAAACGAAAGTGTCTTATCACAGTAATAAATAGACAGTTGCCTGGTTGCCAGATTCAATTAATTTTCACCTAAATGATGTTTGGTTGGTACTATTTAGTGTCAGACGTCAGACCTGTCACTTGTCACTTGTCAGTTCTAGGTCAATTGAATCTGAGCTCCAGTGCTTAGCAAAGATCAGTGTTACGTATAAGGTAATTTTACATAATGGCATCTTTGAAGTTAAATATCGTAACCAGGAGCTTAAGCTCATCTGCAGTCGCGTCTCAAATGGTTAAACCACCCGTACAAGTATATGGAATTGAGGGTAGATACGCAACTGCCTTGTACTCAGGAGCCAGTAAGAATAAAGTACTCGACGCCGTCGAGAAAGATTTGGTCAAAATACAGAATAACTTAAAGACCGATGTAAAATTCCGCGATTTCATTGCCAATCCAACATTCAAGCGCTCAATTAAATCAAATGCATTGAAGGAAGCCAGCAGCAAGCTGCAAATGGCTCCAGCTACTTCTAACTTGTTGGAGTTACTTGCTGAGAATGGACGTTTAAATAAACTGGAAGGTGTTATCAACGCTTATAAAGTTATGATGTCTGCTCATCGTGGAGAGGTTCCATGTGAAGTTACAACAGCTAAACCTTTAGATGAGAATCAACGAAAACAACTTGAAAGCACTTTAAGAGGATTCTTAAAACCCAAAGAAAACTTATTACTAACCCTTAAAGTTAATCCCTCAATCTTGGGTGGAATGGTCGTATCAATTGGAGATCGTTATGTTGATATGAGTGTTGCCAGTAAAGTAAAGCTGTACACTGAAATTATTTCAACACCTGTTTAAAATAAACTTTGTCAAAAATAGAAGAAAATGAAATGTTCATGTTGTATGCAATTTTAACTAACATCTGTATATTATTTATATAGTCAATAAATAATTGATTGTACATTATTTTTGGTTTACATATATGAATTACATAATCATCACACATAAAGTTGAGTTATTCCACAACATGTTTAGTTAACTAAATTAACCCTAACTGAGTGTGTTAATCAAAACTCTTCATCATTTATATATATTTAAACAACAATTACTATATTTTTTACATTTATATACAATACATAATTAAAACACAATAATGCATAATAAAATATATACATAAAGTGGAATGTGGTCAATAGCATCTAAACTTAATATAAAGTAAAAAAATAAAGCTAAATTAGGCCTAATCATAAAATTTGCAACAGCTCGTATATAAATTTTCCTAAGTATTGATCCTAATCCTCAAATCTTTCTACATCGTTATTACCTCTATTCCTAATACTGTTTTCACTCTGCAGAATTTCTTCAGGAGTAACTTCATAGATTGGATCATCAGTCAAGAGCTTTTCACGCTCCATTTCAGAACTGAAAACATTTTTCATAGTAAATCATCTACAATAATTTACATGCAAATTATCTAAATTTCCATTTTAGGACAAGCAGCAAAATTATCAAAATTAAAGTACAAAAGTATAGTTACTCTAAAGTTCCATCAAAGCTATTAAAATATTTAGTTAATATAATTTATCTATTTTTAAAATAAAACAAGTAAAAAAATGTATAGTATTTTACACTAAAATAATTTATTATATTATAGTGAAAAACAATAATATAACAAAACACTATTAAAGTATAAAATACTACAGTTATTAATGTTACACATACAAAATGAATCAAAAGATTACAATCCACAAATATTTTTTTTTTTCAATATCTGAAGTATGATTTTCATTCAACTTACATAATAATTTTTTGGTATTCTTCTCGCTTCTTTGGTGTCAAATTTAATATACCATTACTTGAAGAATCTACCATCCAGATAACGATTGTTGATATGAGAGCAACTGAAAAAGTAAAAAAAAACTTAGTATTTCAATGTTTAAAATGATTAGTATAATTTAATATTTGCACCATCAATTATTAAAGCACTTAAAAGGATGAAGAATGTATATGTTACTGAAGCAGTTAATAAAATAATTCAACAACTTACTGCACAGCCAAGCAATGAAAAATATTTCCAACATAAAATAGCCTCCATTATCAACAATCATGCCAGCCATCATAGATATTAGGGCCAATCCTAAGTTTTGTACAGACTGGCAAATTCCGTAAGCCGTACCCAATTGGTATTCAGGAATTATAAGTGCTACTAAAGGCCACAAACTACTGGCTAGCATAGAATATGATAAACCCATTATCACCTAAAAACAAGAATAATTATAATATATACACACACACACACACACATATATATATATATATATATATATATAAATATATATATAAATTTGATGTTGATTAAATTTTAACTTTTGAATGTAATTTAAACTCACCATTCCTATATAGGGGTTTAAAAATGTAAACGCCAGTAAACCATGAGCAATAATGGTTACTATAATAGATATCGTGACCCAAAATATATTTCTGCCAGTCTTATCAACAGCCAATCCGAATAAAGGACTTGCTACAGCTGATATTACATAAACTATTGAATTGACTGTGTTGGCATCTTCGGGACTAAATCCAAATTTTCTTTCAAAGAACACCCTAAAATTAAATTGCTCATTATATATGACTACAATTGATTTACAGTGTGGGAGCTGATTTGAAAAATAATGAAACAATATATTAACAATGTGCAGAGCACATTAATTTCTATAAAGGCAACTACAGCCAGAACTACAGAAAAAACAGTTTCGAAAACGGCATTTATATGACGAAACTGATGCATTTTGGAATATTATACTTTTGTGTATCAATATATTTAAAAATTCATATTTAATATGTATATGACTAGTTTAAACAAATGTTTGTGCATCATACAGAATGCAAACAGTTAAAATGTGAATTCAATAGTATTTAATTATTGATTTAAATATTAATTATTCAATTAATTGAGAAAAACTTACTTTCCGAGAGCTATAAATGGAAAAATGGCAACGTAGTAAGCCACGCATATAACACTGACGAGCCAAAAGGTAGGCTTAAATGTCTTAATATCAGTCAATCTAACAATCTCCTCGGTATTGTTAATACTTCGTTTCAGTATTTTTGATGCTCTTTTATCCATCCAACCCAAGATCAGTGTGCACATTAAAGACATCACACAAGTCAATGAAGCTGAAAACAAACAGCAAATTAGTTGCATTTCTAGGATAACTATTCAAAATAAAGCATCATCAAAATTATAAGATAAATTACATTAAAAACAAAATGTATGTGGCAATTTACTTTAATGAAAGTAGTATGAACCTTCCCATAGTAAAAATGGATTTAATCAAAAATATTTGATTTGTATATGATTTACCTAGCTAACAATCTACGATTTTTTTAGACGATTTTTATTATTATTTTTGTGACGGTGGATACCATAGTCTTATAGATAATACTAAAATATTACGGCCCTGCGACAACTCGTTTAACTTTAAAAATTCGTCAAAGTTTGCAAAAATTGTTATTGTCAAAATTAAACCTTTCTTCGACGTTTGCTTAAAAACGCCTGAACCGATATCAGAAATGTAAAAGCCATTTTATGTATCTCGATGAGGATTATCGTTTCTCAGTTATACGCGACGATCAGCCGAGCCATTACTTTGTAATTTGGAAAAAAGTGTGGACTTTTCGTCTGCGTTCAATCTCATACTACCGAATTGATTTAAAAAAATAAAAAAACTGTTCAAAAGATATTAGTTGGGAATGATACTTATGAGGTTTAGGCGTTTAGGTGAAAATCTACCGAGCCGTTTTCTTGTAATTAACTGTTGAAAAATAAATCTAAGCCGATTCTTATGAAACTTTTTTTGGCGATCATAGTCTTATAGAACTTACTGAAATATTACGACCTTACGACAAGTAGTTAATTAGATGATTTACTTAATTTAACGGTAGAATACTCGGTCTTAATGAACATACTAAAACATTAAAGTCCTACGTAAACTGGTTCAATTATAAAAATTATTGATTTTTGAAAATTTCCTTTTAGAAAATACTCCGTATTCGTTCGTTTTCAAATATGTGTAATAAATCCACTCGAAAAACTTTTAATCACTCATAAATTAATTTATTTTTTATTGATTGAGTTTATTATTTACGATTACACATATCGAGAAGTTCATGTAACTTGCCTCAAGGCAAAATACCAATACCAACTATTTTGTTTTACCCAAATGTTCAGAAACCTTCGAAACGTAAAGATATCCAAAAATTTTCATTTTCCATTTTTAAGCGATCACTTTAACTAACTCTATGGAAAGTTAATTATATAAAGGTTATAAAGTTACCTAAAAATAAAACTATTCCGATACAATTTGGTCCTGAATAATACTGAGATACCCATTTGTACAATGGTTCCATTACAACAAAGTTGACTGTACTTCCTACACGTGCGAATGATAATTGTAGTCCAAATACCATGTTTAATTCTTTTCCTTTGAACCATAAAACGGCATAATTATTTTGAGCCACCGCCAAAGACTCGGCACCCACCCTGAAAAAATAAATTTAAAAAAATAGGATTTATAATTATAAACAAAACAATCAAAGAATCATAGTCATTGTTATTGAAATATCTTAATTTAAATAAATTTTCAAATATTTATATTATTTATATTATTATTATATTTTCATAAAAATAATTACTTACCCAAAAATAAAACGACCGACGACCATTAACCAGAAGGCATTTAACATGCCACCAGTCGCAAAAATTAGTTGCCCGATAAGCAGAATAGTCATGTATATATTTGTTCCCAGTCTCACGCCAAATACTCTAAAAAATCAGATTGATTAGACACAATAATAACTGAAAAATTAAATAATAATTTTATTAACCAGGTAGTTGTGATTGGCGAACTGTTCAATAAGCGAGCCACAATTAACTGGTTAATATAACCATATAAAATTAATGGTTATTAAAGACAATACATTTATAATTAATTTAGAAATAGTTTTTGATATACTAGTAGTACTAATCTGAATAATAAACTAGTGGTGTATGGCATCGTGCCTTAAGGCTAATTGCTGGAACTTCCCGTACCGTAACAAAATGTTCGAGAAATATTGAATGTTTTCAAATAGATTATTATAAATATTGTAACATTATCTAATATTTGTAAAAATTATATAAACTGAATTGCAAAGTTGGTATTATCTGTTTAAAGTATATTAGAACTTTAATCAGAATTAATTTTAAAATCTGAATTATTTTCGATATACAAAAAAATAATAAAAATCAATTATTTAACAAGCAGAAAGTTCTTTGAATCAGCAAATCGGACGCTTAGTTCTCTCAAAAACTGCAATTTTTTGCACATTTAGCTCTGTATATTCGAAATGGCTGGACCTGCCTTTGCCAAAAACTAATCACCTTTTCTCCCAATCATTACAAATTGAATGTTTTTAGATCATTCAAATCGGATACTCCGTTCTCTCAAAAACTCAATTTGTATTTTCTGCACTCTTTGCTCCGTATCTCCGTGACGGTTGGACCTGCCTTTGCCAAAAATTAATCAGAACACCTCCCTATCAATAAGAATCGAATATTTTTTTAACCATTCAAATCGGTTGATCCGTAGACGAAAAATTGTATCCATACATACATACACACACACACACTTGAATTTTTTCTAAAATAGCCCAAAAACGTGGACAAAAAAATGCGTACATACAAAACAAACACACATCAATTTTTTGGAAAAAATAATACAATTTTCTTTCCAAAAGCAAAAATGAGAAAGTTTTTTGAATCATTCAAATCGATTGCTTAATTCCGTATCTCCGAAATGGCTGAACCTGACATTGCCCAATAATAATCACTAATTCTCCCAATCATTACAAATTGAATGTTTTTTGGATAATTCAAACCGGATGCTCAGTTCTTTAAAAAACTTGATTTCTATTTTCTGCACTCTTTGCTCCGTAACTCCAAAACGGCTGTACCGACCTTTGCCAAAAACTAATAGGCACATCTCCCTATCAATAGGAATAGTATGTTTTCGGAACCATTCGAATCGGTCGATCCGTGCGCCCGAAAACTTGGACGAAAAAATAGGAACAGAAAACACAGTCACAGTCTGAGGTTTTCTTCGATTTTCGGCCGATTACTATATCTTACCCTATGGGCAATTAATAATTAATAAGCCTTAATTTTAAACAATAAAGAATTGCAAAAATGTTCTTCAATCCAAAATCTAGTATTTAAATACAAACGAAAACGTTTATAAATTCTGCATATTATGTCGACTGACCTAGATAAAGATTATCATAGCAAATTCCATATGTGAATTTTAGCTCTATCTGGAATATTTTCACACATAAAGCATGTTGACGTATTAATGGGAATTTATCAATCGATTGGGAAGAATTTCTGTTACAATGTAGATTATCTGGTGATTTATTGATCAACAAATGTCAAATAATATTTCAACAAAAGAAAACTAATTACAATCAAAATATTGATAATCGTATAGAAACAAATATTTGTTTGTTTAATTACAACACATGTGATAAATTAGTTGGCATATGTGAACGCCCCCTGAAATAAAATTTATTTTATAACATCAATGAAGATGATATCATTTCTGATACTTTATACTTTGTTTTTTGAATTAACATATTGAGTGAGTAAAAGTTGATATAAAACTAGAAGAAACTTTTACTTTAATAACTTAAGTTGACATAGATATTTTAATAATAAATGAATTTTGTGTTTCGTATAATTTTATTTCTATGAAGAAAAAGACTTCATTTTTTTGCAAAAAAAAAATCATATATTTTTTTATTTTTAAATATTTTCTACCACATTACATTAATGATTGAATCCAAATGCAATTACTTTATTGAATCTGGTGAGAAAAATTCGTCAAATGAAATTCAAATATTATGCAAAAAATAACTTCCCTTAGGGTAATTAACTTCTCTTAGGGTAAGTTATAGTAATCGCAAAAAAACGGAAATAAAAATTTTATATATCTTTAAGTTTCAAAGGTTTCTGAATATTTTGGCATACCTTAGAAAAAAGGTATGTGTGTGTATGTGCGTGTGTGTATGTATGTGCCAATACAATTTTTCGTCGATAATTTTGAGAACACGGATCAACCAATTTGAATGATTCAAAAAACATTCGAATCGTATTAATGAGGAGACGTGCATATTAGTTTTAGGCAAAAGCAGGTTCAGCAGTTCCGCAGATACGGGGCAAAAAGTGCTAAAAATAGTAATTCAATTTTCAAGAGAACCGAGCGTCCGATTTGAATTATATAAAAAAAAATTATCTGTATTAACGAAATGAAGAATTGATAAAATTTTTAGGAAGGCAGGTCTAGCAGTTTCGGAGATCCAATAAAAAAAGTTAAAAAAAAATGCTAATAAGCGGACAAAAATGATCACTAGACATATGCACATCAAATTATCACATATTTTATAGATATTTTAATAATAAGAACAAATTTTGTTTACTTTTATATGGGTTCCGCACCAATGTTAATCCGTTATATGGCGACGCAGCGCCCACGCGCTTCGATATTTTGTTTCTACGCAGCTAACGTATCGCGATTGCTATGAAAAGAAGTTCAAAATTTCCAAAATATTTCAAAATATGAAAAAAATTAAATTTTTGTAACACATTTTTTTTCAAAAATTTTAAAAATCTCAAAGATCGATTTATTTCAGGGTTCTAAAAGAAAATTGATTTTTTTTTTTAATTTCAATTATTGGTACGGGAAGTTCCAGCAATTTGCCTTAAAGTACGATATGTTATGCACTACTAGTTTTACAATAATTTTGTGCAAAAAAAATTATAATATCTTGTTTTATAGGTATATAATCTATTCTTATAAAGTCTTTCTTAATTATTGTTCTAATATTTTGATAATTCTAATATTTTATAGACTGGAAACTTGAAAATGTGTAACTAGTTTCAAAAAAAAAAAAAAGAAATATAGAACTCAAAAATCAAATATATTATTTTGTGGCTAAATTTTGATTTCATAATTGTTAAAGCAAGATTTTCAACCGGAAAATAAAAAGTAATCAAACAATTTTAAATGCGAATAATGTCTTAATTAGAAACAAAATATGAAACGAATTTTATTACGTTTATTTAAATAACCTTTAAATATTTTATAAAATATTAAATAATCTATGAATATTAGTTAATAAAAATACTATTAATATTTGTTATTAATTAAATAAAGTAAATGAATTAACATTTGAAAGCCACATAGAAATAGTATTGAATCAAGCTAATTGATATTATTTTCCATATTAATTGAACCGAATTGCGAATAGAATTGAATTTTAAAAATGTTTGTTTAAATAGTAATTGAATAAATAAATCAAATTTATGCTACCATAATAAACACATTGAAAGTTTTAGTCTAATATTACTGTTTGTAATATCATATACGAGTAAAATTTATTATATAATATACTGATATGAATACAAATTATTAGAAGTATGATGATTTGATGTGATGTTTACTAAATATACTAATTTTTGATAAAATAGATAGACTTTGGCCTATTTTTCAAGATTTAAGAAACTCATAGACTCTGTGCGGCATAAATACGCATGTAATAGTAAGTTGTAAATTCAAATTTTGTGGTTTTTGTAAGGAAAGAATTATTGAACTATTGAAACAATTACAAAACCTTAGAAAAAATGGATGATATGTGTGTGTGTATGTGTGTGAGTGCGAATACAAATTTTCGTCGACGATTTCGTGAACACGGATTAACCGATTTGAATAATACAAAAAACATTGGATTCCTACTGATGGAGACTAATTAGTTTTATATGTGAATAAAGGTACCCGATATGTAAAAAGTAAAATAACTATCAATAATAATTAAATTAATACGTAATGTACCATAAGTAGCCGAAATGTGGGCAATCTATGTGTTGTCATGGGTTTGAAATTGAATTGAATGTCTATTTTAACAAGAGGGGACTAAATTTTTCATGACATTTTTATGTGATAGTAAATAAAATTGTTCTTTTAAAAATATAACCTATTGTTAAAATTAGGAATTTTGTTTTGCAGTACGGAACAAAATGTAGTGCTTCTATTCAAATTCCTGAAATTTTTGAAAGTGCTTCAGCGCAAAGCACAATAAAAAATCTTAAACAGAAAAACTTTAAATGGTGACTAAAGTAAGAATCGAATATGTAATTAATATGATAAATATAACAACGAAACAGGAATGTGCATTAAATGCGTATTAATATTCTGTATCTCGATCAGTATTGTTTCATAAGAGTCAAAGATCATGTCTTTACTAGTAGGCATTTTCTGAATAATTGCGCGTAAATACAAAGCAATTTGTTACTTCTAGTGTAGTAGCTAAGCAGATTAATTTTTTTAGAAATATTAAAAATATAGTCTACAGTTTAGATTTACATTTTTACAAACAAGTTGTGAAATAAACAATAATCGAATACACTCCTATAATTTAAAATCGATAAAGCAAAACTTTTGGAACCAATTAGGCGATAAATATTTTATGATCAAGAACAAACCTAGTTCTAAATGCCCTTTGGCCATGCAAGATAATTGATATGCCACATCGATTCACATAATCTGAAACATCTCATATTTTGATTAGAAAACCATGAACTTTTCGAAAAGTCATACATCAGTATTCTTAGTCGTTTCTGATATTCTGATATTCCTATTGCGTCAAACCCTATAAATATATTTATTGAAGAAAGGGCTTTTTGATAACTATAACTTATAATAAATATTATAAAATAAGTTCTAATTGCATAAC